GAGCTTGGAGTTCGCCAGAGAGATGGCGGCGTTTCTCTCCATGTTGAGAGAACTGGTCTGTGCCCACATATCAGCGCTGTTGCTTTCCGCCATTATCACTGTTCTCGAGACAGGGACTAAACAGAGTCCTCTCTTTCTTAAATACCCTTCACTCCAATCCGACTCCATTGCTGACTCTGTCCACATATCAGCGCTGTTGCTTTCCGCCATTATCACCGTTCTCGAGACAGGGACTAAACAGAGTCCTCTCTTCCTTAAATACCCTTCTCTCCAATCCGACTCCATTGCTGACTCTGTTTCTTCTTCCATGTATGCAGAGCTCAGCACCTGTCAATGAAAACAGTAACATGAAAGGAAAAAAAAGAGACTATTTGCTTTAAAAAGATTCACTTTTTTTTTAGAATGATTAAAAAACCAATATAAATGCACTCGTGCGATCAAGTTCTTAACAGTGCCAAGTGACTGGTGACTCGATACAGAGAGAGGAGCAAGACCTTTACTTGATCATGAAGAAACCTAATGTATCCAAAAGCTTCCTGAAGAACAGACGCCGTATCCGACTGAAATCAGAGAAAAACAAGTTGCAATTCATATGAACCGCTTCAAGTTATAATTTTTCCAATCTCTGTTCCTCCGAAGAAGAAAAAAAATTACATTTTTAATTCTTCGAATACGTGGGTGAAGAAAAACACCGACCTTGCCAATGGGAGAGACAAGCTGTTGCAGAGCTCTGACATGCGAGCCCAGCTTCTCTTTCCCCATCTAATGACAATCTCAACTCCTTATACAATAAGATACAATTCTATTTAATAGTAATGTATTATTAAAATTAAATTTCAGAAGCCCACCTGAGCAGTTCTGGAAACAGGTAAAGCGTCCACCTTTGTCTTCTTGCGCTTACTACAGGTGGACATGGAAGAACCAAACTTGGCACATCCTCCTCCCATTCCGATGGAGGGCACTGTTTTCTTCACTTTCCCATCAATCAAAATTAGCAAACTCTCGAGTTAAAGAGAAGAAGAAGATGAACATACCATTCTAGTTCTGGGCTTGCAGTTATGATCAACAGAAACTACCCCAGCATTGTCATCGTCTTCTTCTCCACCAAAACAGAGCATCTGAACTTTTGATGTTGAGGAAGAAACAGAGATAGAACGACTGGTAGGGAAGAAAACAAAACCAACCTCCTCATTTTTCTCGTTTGCGTGCTCTCTGTCATCATCTTTCTCAATTAATAGCTCCATGAAACTGCCTTTAAAGCCATCGACGTCCATAGATCGTCTTCCATTATCTCCAGCGATGCAACTTTCCATTTTTTAGCTGACAAGTCAATGGAGGATGGAGAACAGTAATCCCAGGCCAGCTCGCTTGCTTCGATGTTCTAAGGAGGGAACAGGGAGTGAAGTACGGCTACTTTCTCTTCGTCTTTATCGCTTCCGTCTCGGTGGTGCTAAAAATTGCGAATTTATCGAGGAGTGTTGTGAACGTTGATGAAGGAATTGATGGTCATGATCAACTTTGCCACCACGCTGCTGCTGGTGGGGACGGCTTGATGTAGCACGGAGATCTTCGCAGACTTTTTGCGGGGAGCCGACGGGACGGAAAGCCACTGTTCAGGGAGAAAATATTGGGTCGGAATTTTTTAACGGGTGAAATCTGATTGTTGTGTTTTACTGTCTTAAAAATGAAGAAGTCTGTAACTATTTGATTATGTAGTATAATTTGATTGCATCTTTTATTTATCTTCAATACAATCATTTTGTATTTGTATTGAGATTCAAATAAATATTTTAATATGAAAGATATATACTATAACATAGTTCTATTTAAGAAAAATTAAAAGTAAGTCATGTTGTACTTCATGTCAGGACTATGTATAGACGTCTGAACATAATATTTTCGCATACTTCAAGGCCCAAGCAATTCATCTAATTAGAGGTGGCCAACGCTATATGAAATAATAAGAACTTATTATGCTGAAGATTATCTCTGGTACTTCATCAAATGAAAATATTTATGGGATGAAACATTGGCTATGTAAAACTATAGATGAATATTTAGTTAAATGAAATTTTTCTCCCCAAAAATTATGATTTCAATATGAGGTTTTTTTAACGGTTTTTATTTTACAATGATTATTTTCATGCATATGTCTATATATTTTCCCAATACATAAATTGATCTTAATTTTCTTGCTTTACATGTCTTCTAACACCCTTATAAAAAAATAGTTGGCTATAACTAGAATTTTTCGATTGGTTTAACTATACTCTTTATAATTTACAAGATTTTTCAGAAAATTAATTGTTAAATCACTATTACTATATTTTTATATTAAATAAGATAATAATAATCATCATAATCATGAACAAAATTATTCAAAAATGTTTATAAGGAACATATTATATGTTATAAGATATGTATCTTCATGATCTTAGAAATGATTGATCACAATTGTCATCTCAAGATGCTCAGTTCTCTTTCTTCTGTATTTTGAAATAGCCTGATTTGGTCAATTTCATAAAACAATACAAGAAGTGCCAAGATAGTCATCTTCCCATTTATATGGGTCATTTTAATTACAAATTTTATAAAAGTGTTAAAATCATTCCTAAATTGTTGTAACGGGGGCTAAAATATTCTTCAGTTCAAACTATTTTAACTCGAATTAAAAGAGTACAAGAACTAAATTGTCATTTTAATAAAATTTGGAATGAAAATGACTTTCTGCAAAGAGTTAGAAGATCATTTTGACATTCTTCTCAATAATCTAACTTTGCCCAATAAAGTTCCCAACATCTTCTCCTTCATTAGACAATCTAATCAATCCCTGGCAAACATCCTTGGTCATCTTTTTTCTTCTTCACACACCGTCGATTCCACCAATATCTCGTTGAAGGGACATCATAACCATGATTATCCAAAGTGTGACAGCTAAAAATAGCCACAAAGCCCTCCAAAAGATAAAAGCCACCAAAAAATACATCTCGGCAAAACATTCAAAGGAAAGTCAAATTCACATGCTTTCATCCATCACAAAAATGAGAGCATTATATAAGTAAAGGAGAAAACGAAAAGGAGCCAAATAAATAAACCAAAATTTATTAGATTCATTAATTTTATTATTTCAATGCTTGGAATTTAAATTAGCATAACTCCTTGCTACTTAGTTGCCTCATCTTCTTTGCTTTTATGCTTGGCCGAGATCAACAACCCTTCATCGTTTAATTCATTACATGCAATATGAAGAGAATTAAAGATCACTATTTATTTTCAACAAAATAATATAAATATATATTTTTAAAAGGTAAATTAAAGATCACTTTATTGCATTTATCATAAAAACGAGCACATGAAGACACAATATATATAGCATTATAAAAATAAGGAAATTAGGTGAGATTTGGGCAAATTAAAAATATAAATTATTTGAAATTACATGGTTGTTTTTAGGACTGGAATTTAAATTGGCATAGTTCCCTACTAATTAGCAAACAAATATTCTTTTGCTTTCACACTCACATGTGCCTAAAGCTTTCTTCTCATGCATGTTTTGGCCGAATCCTCCATATTTTGAAATAAATAATTTTAATGATTATTTAATTTGTGGCCGGTCAAGAGAAAACTAAATACTATTTATATGTTAACAACTGTACATAGCATATCCCAAAAATTAATGAGATGAAAGATGTGGAAAGATACATCATCAACACATTTTCAACTTCTGAGACGGATCTCAAGGCATGACACAATCTCGAGATAATTTTTTGAACAAGTAAAGTTCAAACTTCAATTAAAAATCATCTAAAATTTTGATTTTAACAAACTTATATTCAAACTGATCAGCTCGACGAGGTGGACTGAACAACACCAAAGTTAGTCCAATCTGAATCAAATCAAGGCAAGAACTGTTAAGCCATTTTTGGAGACTTTGGGTTTAATTGGAAGACCAAGCAAGTTCAAAATCTGACAAGCTATACTCGAATCGACTGTCTCAATGAGACGAATCCAACGAGCTCAAGATCGCTCAATTTTGATATTGTTAAGGTATTCAAATATCCATCAAACAATATTCAATCGAGGGAATCCCTTCGAGCCGTTCGATTAAAGTGAATTATATTTCAACATTAATTACACAGAAACTTTATAAATAAAACTCCACCCTTCTCATGAGAAGAGGGAGCTGGAGGCCTAAAGAGAGATCTTGAAGCCTGAGAAAGGGAGCTTAAAGCTTGGAAAATGAGCTAAAATTCAGCGTCACTTCGCAACTGATCACCAGGCAGTGCCCATCGCCAAACTCCACCTATCGGTCACATCTGATCACCATCAGTTGCTGCCCACTCTTTACGACGAAGCGACAACTGACATCGTAGAGTCACGAAGCAACGTGCAAAGTGAGGCATCATCCTAAACACCAGGCTGTCACCTCCAAAACTGTGCAATAATGCATCTAAAATATGGTGTAATACACACTCTCGTGCAGCTCTCGACTTCGGCCATCACGCCTGTGAATGTCACTATTACACTAGGAGGAAGTTTGAGGTATGTTATTTAGGGATTTTGAGGTGACCCCACGTATTAATATTAAGTTATATTTATAATTTTATCCATTTAAAATATTTTTATTCATTTTACATAAGCACTTCTCCTGGTGCCCCAAAAATGATGCATACATCAGGATGAGCTTCAAGCCTGGGGTTGTGATTGTCTTCACGGCATATTGGATGAAATACAAAACACGTGTTAGCACTATTTGTAGCTTGAGGAGGAGGTGTACAATGTTTTGCTCGGAGCAAGGACTACTCTGGGCTACCTCAAGAAGAGTCAACATACAAATTATAATAAGTGTTCTAATTGTGGGGGCATAAGTGTATCCAAGATGGAACGGTCCCACATGTAAAGTACTCGAAAAAGAATGTAAAGGTTATTTTTTTCATCATAGCTTAGCTTAAAATAATTATTTAATAACTATTTTCTTCTCTTGACATACTTTGAAGTTAGAACAAGAGTCCGCTACTACAGAGTTGCATGCGTGCACCAATAAGTCACAATCAGATCAAACGTAGGTTGACAACAAATCTCAAATAACACTTGTAAGTGAAAAAAAAAATAACTGTTATATTATTCTAATTATTCCTGAATTTAATTTTTCATCTATTTATCTTTGACAATTTTTGTAGGAATCCTTAGAGCAGCTGAAGGAGACACAAACTCCTCGCACAGAAAGATTAACAATGTCGGGTCATGATCAACACGACTATAAGTTTAGGAGAGAGGCTATTGGAAGCAAGAAGAAATGAATAAATTATGGATAGGGTTCGCAAACACAAACATATGATGCAAATCATTCTTTTGTTGCATTCAATGATGATATAAAGGCCCAATTTTTTTTTGCAAAGCATGCTGAGATGAAGTTCAAATTGGAGGCCAAAATGAAAATAAAAATAGATGGACTGCGACGTCAGATCGACCAAATAAGGAAAGTGCTAGTAAAGTAGGTGGTCGAGGAGGGGAGGCTAAGAAGACAGATGATGATTAGAATTATTTTTAATATACAAAATTTTCAAATATATGGACTGATTATTTCATTTTCTGATTCAATGCATTGTGGTTACTTTTGTTTTAAAATTTAAAATTAATTCATATGATTTTGTTTAATGCATATTTGGATAGGTAAATTAAATTATGCAATATAAATTTGATTTATTCGGGGTTGTAATTGTGGACATGAAATTATATTGAAATAAAGAAAATTTTTCAAATTCTTTTGTACAGTTTTTTTGACCGTTTCTTGTTGATTTTTTGACAGGCTATCGATACATAGAAAATCGAAGGGCGAAATTTGTCGGTTTCTTAACCGATGGTTAGTCTAGCTACGACTAATTGACGCTTTTTCTTTTTAGTTGTACCGATGTGCAGTACCCATCAGCAAGGGAAATATATTATATCAAGACTTCTGACGTAGAGCTATGTTCGGATTATAATATTTGATTGTGTTACGAGAATATTACATCTGTGTTATTTATAAAAAAGATGTGTTATTCGAGTATTATATGATGTTATTCAATTATTTGCGGTGTTATTGAAATATGTCCCTGTGTTACTTGATTTGGGGTTGTGTTATTCGACATATTTCCTGTGTTATTTCAATTTTCACTATGTTATTAGAATAACACAATCCCAAATTAAGTAATGCGAGAGAATATTTCAATAACATTTCAGCCCCAAATCAAGTAACGCGATGGAATATTCTAATAACACAGCAAAATAATCGAATAACATCATATAATACTCGAATAACACAGATGAAATATTCCCGTAACACAGCCGGATATTCCAATCCGAACGCAGCTCTACGTTAGGAGTCCTGGTGTAATATTTTTCCATCAGTAAGTCATCAGACCCAAAAAGCAATCTAAAATGTCATTGGTCTAGGGGTCTTCGACAATAAAGAAAGCAACCCTTGACTTGCCACCGGAAAACCACCAATATGTTATTAGCTTATGATGTTTTTGATAATTTTCGACGTTTTTTGATCTCGGAAATAGCCTTAATTCCTATAGTGATATAACATAAAATGTTAAAACATATAAGAGCATGCATTTATTTTATTGTTTGAGAATTTTTTTTTGCAATTTGAATGGAATACATTGGAGAATAAAATGGCTTAAAGTATACTTTTATGTAATTATAATTCTATAAATTATGTGGCAGATCATACACATGAAAATTTCATAATTTAAATCAGGGAGCACATCTCATATATGCTTTGACAATATGATCAAAATGTAAAGTACATCAGCCAAATTACTGATACTGAAAAACTGAAGCAAAAACAATAAACATAAGACAAATGAGTAAAGTATAATCTACAAACTATCATAATTAAAAAATATTGAAGATAAATGTCTAAACAATAAATAAAAGACAAAACTATAAATAGAAGACGATATAAAAAGATAGAAAATGATGCATTAAATAATAGTAAGAGTTTTAATAATGTACACATCTCATTCTGCATCATCTAATGAGCAATTGGAGGGTGAACTTCAAATTTATTTATCTAAAGAATCACAAGTGTTATGTTTATTAAGAGTAATTTATTTGTGCGCGTCACTAACAATAGAGATGTAAACGAACAGAGCTTATGTTTGTGTTCGACTTGTTTGAAATTTAATTTGTTTGAAATAAGCTCGTGTTCGAAATTGTTCATAAAGTCACTGTTCGTGTTCCTTTATTAACGAACGAACTGAACACGAGCTGTTCGCGAACGACAAGTCAGTGTGACATCTCTAATATTAATATATATAAATAATATATTATATTAATTATATACTTTTATTATATAAACATATAATATCTATATTAGTATATTACTAATACAGTAGATTAATATGTTATTATTATTAATTTAATTTATAAAATTTAATTTTTAAAATTTTCATAAATTTTTTATATATAATTATTTTATATTTCAAACAATAATGATTCAAACACAAAC